GGGGGGGGGGCTGAAACATGTGTGATGCTATCTACAGGGCCAGATATAAGGGTTCATTGCGTACTGGATATTTATACATCGGTATACTACCTGTAATAACGTCACTATTGTGTGATAGTACTCTCTTTTTTATCAAACTAGGACAATGTGTCATGTGTTGAACTTCCGATAAGTATATGAAGGGTACACTCCTGTATTTCTCGGTAAGGGCCATTGATCGTACTGTTATGTCCCGAAAATGTAGTTAAGCAGCGTTAAATGTTTGTCTTTCCTTCCACCCATACGACAGTTGCTTTAGTCCAGCAGTCGCCTATATTAGGGTCTGTCTTGAGGAGTAACTACACCAGTGTATCAAATGTATGTCATTTATTGTTGGGGATTTGAGCTAGCGTTATTACTGTGATTCTGCATGTCAAACAGTCATCAACTTTAAAAACAAAATGCGACATGTATGTATTTTAAACCCCCATCGCAAAGTGGACGGGGTATATCGCTCACAGCAGTTCACCTTGATTATCAAATCTGGTATGCTGGTACATTGTAGGAAGGCGGAGTGTAATGCAAAACTATGGGTCATGGGTCACTGTGAACTGTATTTTGACCTTTGACCTGAAATTAAGTGCAAAACATGTGAGATACCGTTTGTCTGGGCCATATCTCCTTCAATATTTCACCTACGATCACCAATGTTAGAGTGCTTATACATCATGGGAAGGAGGGTTGTCTCTTTAAAAAAGTGTGTAGATGAATGTAATGGCAAGAATTCAAGTTTCCCCTGGATGTACATACCAATATACAGAGTTATATCCGCAGTTTGCTCATTATCTTACAATCTGTCATGAAAAAGAGTCCTACATTGTAATTTGATATAATATGCCACCCAACATTGATAGATAAAGGAGTTTTACGTTTGTCGATATAGTCTGTCGGGGTCTCTAATGTTTCTAATAAAGTTGTAAGAAATATTCACATTTTCAAAAAAATAATCTCAAGTTTAACAAATGTTAAATAGGAAAATCTTTCATATACAGCAATGATAATATTTGCAAAACCTGGGACTGGTTTCCTGTTTGCTAAGGTCGACGTTGCTACTATAAGAAGAAATATCTTTAAAAGATCGTTCAACTTGTAACAAATTTATTTCAGCTGATGTTTTTTCATAACGTCTCCGTCTCAGAGTTATACTTAGCATCATCATTGTAATTCATTTTTGGCAGGCTCTATCTATTACAAATCGTTTAAGGTGCAATCTCTGTGTGCGTGTGTGTGTGCGGGATTGCGTGTGCGTGTGCGTGGGGGGGGGGGGGGGGGGGGGGAGTTGAGGTAATAATTATAATAATAATAACTAATAATAATATACAGCATTTATATAGCGCCCTATATAATTTGTAAAATTACTCTAAGGCGCTTTACAACATATGGATAATAGAAGTGGTTATAATTGTGAAAACCAACAACAAAGGCTTGCAATCACTTTAATACATTTAACAAGCAATGTGCGCATAATTGAACAAATAAAAGGGTGGTATTCACATGACGTCTTTGCAAAGATTCTAAAATCTTTGCAAAGATTCTAAAATTCTAAAAAGGTACGTACATCTATCTACATCCTACGAATTGTTCACTGTACAAAACATATGTGACGAAGTATTGACTAGTTGTGTACTAATGGCGAAGGAAGGAAAATGTCATATTTTGACTTCAATATAAAATGTCAACTCTTTGTCAAATTTGCCGTTTCCTGTGAAGTTAAAACAAACACAAACACGTACTATATTGTAACATACATGAAACATATTTAGTAATAGGAAACATATTTAGTAATAGGAAACATATCTAGTAATAGGAAACATATTTAGTAATAGGAAACATATCTAGTAATAGGAAACATATTTAGTAATAGGAAACATATCTAGTAATAGGAAACATATTTAGTAATAGGAAACATATCTAGTAATAGGAAACATATCTAGTAATAGGAAACATATCTAGTAATAGGAAACATATTTAGTAATAGGAAACATATCTAGTAATAGGAAACATATTTAGTAATAGGAAACATATCTAGTAATAGGAAACATATTTAGTAATAGGAAACATATCTAGTAATAGGAAACATATTTAGTAATAGGAAACATATCTAGTAATAGGAAACATATTTAGTAATAGGAAACATATCTAGTAATAGGAAACATATTTAGTAATAGGAAACATATCTAGTAATAGGAAACATATTTAGTAATAGGAAACATATCTAGTAATAGGAAACATATTTAGTAATAGGAAACATATCTAGTAATAGGAAACATATTTAGTAATAGGAAACATATCTAGTAATAGGAAACATATTTAGTAATAGGAAACATATCTAGTAATAGGAAACATATTTAGTAATAGGAAACATATCTAGTAATAGGAAACATATTTAGTAATAGGAAACATATCTAGTAATAGGAAACATATTTAGTAATAGGAAACATATCTAGTAATAGGAAACATATTTAGTAATAGGAAACATATCTAGTAATAGGAAACATATTTAGTAATAGGAAACATATCTAGTAATAGGAAACATATTTAGTAATAGGAAACATATCTAGTAATAGGAAACATATTTAGTAATAGGAAACATATCTAGTAATAGGAAACATATTTAGTAATAGGAAACATATCTAGTAATAGGAAACATATTTAGTAATAGGAAACATATCTAGTAATAGGAAACATATTTAGTAATAGGAAACATATCTAGTAATAGGAAACATATTTAGTAATAGGAAACATATCTAGTAATAGGAAACATATTTAGTAATAGGAAACATATCTAGTAATAGGAAACATATTTAGTAATAGGAAACATATCTAGTAATAGGAAACATATTTAGTAATAGGAAACATATCTAGTAATAGGAAACATATTTAGTAATAGGAAACATATCTAGTAATAGGAAACATATTTAGTAATAGGAAACATATCTAGTAATAGGAAACATATTTAGTAATAGGAAACATATCTAGTAATAGGAAACATATTTAGTAATAGGAAACATATCTAGTAATAGGAAACATATTTAGTAATAGGAAACATATCTAGTAATAGGAAACATATTTAGTAATAGGAAACATATCTAGTAATAGGAAACATATTTAGTAATAGGAAACATATCTAGTAATAGGAAACATATTTAGTAATAGGAAACATATCTAGTAATAGGAAACATATTTAGTAATAGGAAACATATCTAGTAATAGGAAACATATTTAGTAATAGGAAACATATCTAGTAATAGGAAACATATTTAGTAATAGGAAACATATCTAGTAATAGGAAACATATTTAGTAATAGGAAACATATCTAGTAATAGGAAACATATTTAGTAATAGGAAACATATCTAGTAATAGGAAACATATTTAGTAATAGGAAACATATCTAGTAATAGGAAACATATTTAGTAATAGGAAACATATCTAGTAATAGGAAACATATTTAGTAATAGGAAACATATCTAGTAATAGGAAACATATTTAGTAATAGGAAACATATCTAGTAATAGGAAACATATTTAGTAATAGGAAACATATCTAGTAATAGGAAACATATTTAGTAATAGGAAACATATCTAGTAATAGGAAACATATTTAGTAATAGGAAACATATCTAGTAATAGGAAACATATTTAGTAATAGGAAACATATCTAGTAATAGGAAACATATTTAGTAATAGGAAACATATCTAGTAATAGGAAACATATTTAGTAATAGGAAACATATCTAGTAATAGGAAAC